TTTTATTTCATTTAAATTTAAATGAAACAAAGCATACAATGGTTGGATGAATAAAATATGAAAATTTAGAAAATGCAATAAATTAATAAAATATAAAAAACACAATATTGTTACAAATTAAAAATAAAAAATTGCATTATTAAAAATATCAAATAAGTTAAATAAAATTAAAACAAAATTTACAATAATTTGAAAAAATGCTATACAACTATTGAGTATACAAAAAATATTGACTTCATCATTTTCTCCTAGTGTTCTTGACTTTGCTCATCTACTTCATGTGAAATATCAAGTGTAGTGTCATGCCCTCCTTTGTCTTGTAACTTAATTTCATCATCCAGCCAATCTTTAAAGCAAATGCACATCTCTAGACTTTCATCATTCATATAGTTTCTCTTGTCGTCCAACACCTTAGTACCTGTACTAAAACAAGACTCCGATGGAATTATAGACACCAAAGGGGTTAGTAGATCACATGCCATGGCAGCGAGAAGTAGATAATTTTTTGCATGTTCACTCCATCAGGCTAAAATATCAAAATTCTTTGTTCCCTTCGAGGTGAAGGAAGAACCACCAAAAGTAGAAAAATTTGCTTGTAAATAAAAATTAAGTTCAATAAATGAACTTGTTGTCGAGACAGTGGATTTTTGCCTTATTAAATAAAAAAAGTTTTTTCTCTTCCACTACTAGACTCAAGTCCAGAAGTGGAAGATGAAGCTATACAAGTTATAGAATTTTTATAATTCCCCATTACTTCATATTCATATAAATTATAATTTCAAATAATAAACTATTAATTTCTTCTTTTTTATTTCCAATTTCAATATTCATATTTTCACAATATATTTCAAGTAAGATATCTAAACCATCTTTCCTAATCCTAGGATCTAATATTGTAGCTAAGGCAATAAAGAGGAGAAATGTTTTCCCAATATTTTTTAAATTTATTTTCCATTATTTCAATAATACTTTTAAATTGTGGATTTTTTCTATATTTTGCAAAACAATCACTAATCATCATTAATTGATAAGCTAATTACAACTAGTTGGATAGTAAATACCCAATAATTCATAAGTTGTACCATAAAAATGTTTTAAAAAAATCTCTTATACAAATTGTCATTTCCCAATCTTCTTCAAATATAATATTAGGCGTTTTTGCATTATAAAAATCACTAAGAATTGTTTGTGAGAAATACAACTTTCTAACATAGCATAGGTAGAATTTTACATATGTTTAACATCTAATATAAAATGTTTATATTTTAAACCATAATTTTGACATAAATATTTAAATTCTTGTTTTCTTGCTCCAAAACTTTTAATATATATAATACAATTTCTAATTTTAGAAATATAGGTAAAAATAATATTTAAATCATCCTTAATACATAAATTTAAGATGTGACATGCACATCTGATATGAAATAATTTACCATTTAAACATGGTTTTAATTGAGATTTTAAAATATTTATTGTTGAATAATTAATACTAGCATTATCAAAAACTAATAGAAAATAATTTATTGTCAATTCCATAAGCATGTAAAGTATTTAAAATACTTGCAGCAATAGTTGGGCCAGTATGTGGCCATTCAAGCATAGTAAAACTTCAAATTCTTTTATCTAAAAGCTATTTTTCGTCAATAAAATGACCGGTAACACAAATATAACTTATGTAAATTTAGAAGTCCAAATATCAGAAGTAGTTGCAACTTTAGAATTAAGATTTGATAACATATAAATTAAATTTTGTTTATGTGAACAAAAAATTTTTAAAGCATCTGATCTAATAGTATTCCTACAAACTTTTTTAAATTGTGGATTTACAGAATTACGTAACCATTTTTCAAGTTTAATATCTTCAGCTAACAAAAATGGTTGTTCAACATATACAATGTATTTGGTTTCTTATTGCCTCATTTTTTTCTTGAGAATATTTACAAATACCAACCCCCCACCCAATTTGTGTTTGTGTTGTTTCTTTCCCTTCTTCTTTCTTTCTCATGGGTGAGCAAATGTCTACCCAAATGGCCAGTACCACCTTTGCTACAATAGGTAAAGTCTTTCCAACATTTTGGCAAACAACTCTTTTTCCCTTCCCCTAAAACTTTAAATATTTTCCAAACTGGGCTAATCAACTTAGTGGCCTTCTTTTTCTTTCCCATAATATTAGTAATAGGGGTGAAAGTTCAGTTAATATTAATAGCATCCAAATTGGTGATAACACTATCATATTGCGACTGAATATCATCGACATTGAACATATTGGGGAATTGGTTTCGAGAGGAACCAACATTTTTTTTTAATTCTAAAAAATAAAAATTAATTTAATTGCACTTACTCAGATTGCTGGTTCAGAATCCCAACTAGATTTCAACAGTTGAAGTCTTTCAACTCCATGATTCCAAGCCTTCTAAATTGCTAACTTGAGATAATTGAGCTATTGAACAAGCCTTCTTGTTGAAACTTCAATAAATTTGAGAATTGGAGAACTAGAGAATGTATGAGAGATTGAGACTTGAGAGAGTATGAAAACTAGAGAAGTGATTAAGAGAATTGGTGTGATGAGAATGGTGGAGGATAAAACTATTTATAGGAATTGAAAATAATTCAATTGCCCAAAATACTCTATAAACAAGTTATTTTTTAGTTGTTGGGAGAGGTATTTTGGTCATTGTAAAGTTATTTATCACTTTACCCAAAATGCCACCAAACTAGCTATTATATAGTTGTTGGAGGGCATTTGTGCCTTTCTTTCCAAAACCAAAATACATAAATACCCCCCTATATATCTATTTATAGTTGTTGGGGGATATTTTTGTAAAAAAAAAACCAAAAAGCTGAAACTAGCCGTTAGGGGGTGGGGATCCCTAACGACTAGTTCATCGGGCGAGCCAAGCGCAGCCCATGTCGTGCCAGCCCGTGGACCTAGAACTCCAGGCCCAACACGGCCCAAACCATCGTGTCGGACCTAGCACGGCCCACAAGTCGTTGTATCATGTTAGCCCAAATTTGGGTCGGGCCATGTTGGTCCACGGACGGTACAACCCAAGGTTTAAAATTTCGATACGAGGCATTTCATCTTTTTCCATGCGTATCGAACTTGTATCGGGGGTGTATCAGAGCGTATCAACGAAAAAGATACAACCCAAAATTGAAAAAAAAAATAAAGGGGGAAAGCAAGGTTCTTTTCCCTGAAATAATGCTTCTTTCAGCCCAAATGGTTCTAAAACTCCAAACCTCATTCCTGGAGTAATAGATTTGCAAAAATTTGCAAGAAACAAGTGTGGATCGTTCATTTTTTTTTGAAGATTTTTCAAATTTTGAAAAAATATGGCAAAAATAGGTAATTTTTTTTTAATTTTTATAATATTTTGTGATTTCTTTTTTTTTTCTTGAATGTTTAAGTTAATGTTGATCTACATTTCTTACATTCAAAATCACATTTTTTTTTGTGTTATCAGTAGATTTATGGAAACTATAGAGCAATTGAAATTTCTTCTTTAATATTCTTTTTTTATTTTTAGAATTAAAAAGTAAATAATAATTAATTATATTTTATCATTTGATCACAACAATTGAATCTATTATAATTCTATGGATGATCTATCATATCCATAGACCAATTGAAATTTCTTGTTTAATAATTATTATTTTTTTATTTTTGATATTTTTTTAATTAAAAAAATTAATTAATTATATTTTATCATTCAATCACAATGATTGAATATACTATAATTCTATAGATTATCTATCATACCCACATAGCAATTGAAATTTCTTCTTTAATAACTATATTTTAATATGCTATATAATGTTTTTTTATTTATTTATTTTTTATAATTATTAGAAATAAATAATAAATAATAATTATTGATTATATTTTCACTTAGAAGTTGTGCCAATGCATGTTTTATGATTGGATGGAAGAGTTGAGTTTTTCCCATCCTATAAAACATTAAAACATAAGAATTATAATTTATAAATTATAGTTAAGCATAGGATTTTTAATAAAATTATAATTAACTATAATATATTTCTTCATTAAATCATTAAAATATATTCATTTAATGTATATACAACTCATTGAGTTCTTATATTTAGTGTTGTTGATGTATTTTTATGAGTTATGAAACTATTTATAGTGTTTCCAAGTGTATCTATGCGTGTCTTAGTTTTCTCCATACGCATGCGTATCAAAGGCATATCTCGATACATCTCTTAAAATTGCCTTTCCAATTTTGCATTTTCAATACTTTGAACCTTGGCACAGCCCGATTTACACCTCTAGCCCTATTCGTTTTTTAGGAAGCTATTTATTCATGTTCTTTTACCAGTAATTAAGCACATGCGTTGCACGTGAGAAATTTTTCTTCATATTAATTACTTGAATTTTAGATATAGCATAGTTAAGATAGAAATTGAAAATTAACAAAAGTAACAATATGATTAAAAATAAACTTCAATGCTTGTAGCAAATAACAATTATTATTATTATTATTATTATTAAATTTTGTATTCCATTTTTATCATAAATAAAAATAACTTTTATTTTAACAATTATTTTTATTTAATATGATGAATATATAACATTAGAAATGTTCTCAAATGTTTTCGACAAAATTCTATACACTTTCATTTTTGGTGTTCTATCTTTTTATAAATATTTAATATTCAATTATGACATCATGAATTTCTTGAAAAAATTCACTATAACAAATTCTGATTATAACGGCATTTTTATTAGCGGCATTTTTCTAAATGCCACTATAAATCATCTTTAGTGGTGTATCTTAAAAATGCCACCATGAAACTCCACTACATTTGTATTTTAACCAGCACATTTTAAACTACCGCTAAAATATAATATAAACTCCACTGTAATAATTATTGATGTATCTCTAATAAATTGCACCCAAAAAGCAATTAAAATATTAAATGCCACTATATCTATTCTCAACTATTAAAAGAACAATAAGAGAAAAATGAGCGCTAAACTTTCTTGCTCATAGGTGTTTGGGTTCTCCTTTTCCCCCATCTCGTTCTGCATTCTCCTCCATCCGTCCCCGAAACTCACATCGTGGCAAAGTTCGTGCATGAGCTCACTACACTCCACTTTAGAATTCTTATTTGTCTATGTGAGTTCTTTTGTCTACAGATATTATATTATTTCCATTTTTTGCTTGGTCGGGGCTATGGCGGAGTTGTCCCAAGCCAATGTTCATGCGCCGAGGCCACTACAAGAACGGAGGACTTTATTGAAGTGGTTGGCCTTCTTTCAAAATCTTCCTCCAGATCCTTAGGGAAATACCTTCAATGGCACAGGTTCCTTTACTCTTTTCTTCATCCTAGTCCTCTTTTGCCTCATTCAAGCCCTTACCTATCGTTGAACTTCCCCATCAAGATTTGCTTCCATCCCTTTGAACATTAGCAACTAAGATGACAGCGACCTTAATTAGCAGATCGAGAAGCTTACGGTAAGTCTGTAGTCTATGACCTTCCCATTTTTGTTGTCTTTCTTCCTTGTTGGGTTCTCTCTTTTTCTTATTTTTTATTGTTTTTATTCATTTTGATCCTTTTAGGTTTTATCAATTCATTAATTCTTTTTAGTATATTTATTATTGTAGTAAAGGGAAAAAACGTATGATTTAACTTTAGTCATGTGCATTTGATGATTGTGCACCCCCTAGTTTTTGGTAGAATGATCAAATGGAATTTGTATTTTCAGATGGTTTCTACTTACATTGCTCTGGGGATATATTGAAGGGATATAACTTGTTGGTATGCTAGGTAGATACTACCTTATGGCTTAGTTTTCAGTGTTTACGGTGGATCATTCTACTTGATGCAATTATACTTGGTCATGACTGAAATTTTCAGCTTAATGCGTGAAAATCAGTCACCTTTTGCACTGCCCCATCTTTTTGCAGCGTGGATTCATTTCAATAAACTTTGGCAAAGATTGGATTCCTCCCGATGACATTGGCTGCCTCGTTTCTACTTGACCTTTAGCTGGGTTTAGTAAAAGAGGCAAGATTGTGTGGCTTGCTTCTCCTCTAGTCCTTTTCTAGGTGTTTTGGGGTGAAAGAAACAATCACTTTTTCAGGGGTTCCCCTTCTCAGTTGATGGCAGTGATTGGGAAAGCAGAGACTCAGAAAGGTTGCTGTTCAAATGGTTGTCAAACGGGCTAGGATAGGGTCATAAGGGTCGCTTAGTTTGTTAACAATCTTGGAATTAATCTAAGAACATGATTGTATGTAATAAATATATCCAGTGTAGATCATTAGCTTGTTGGAGGCCTAGGTGGGGTCCAATCCTAGGGACAATAGGAGGTGATCAGGTTACAAAACGGTGAAGAAATATCTAGTGGAGTAGATTCTGTACCTACCAAACAGACCTGATGTGTCATATTTATTGGCAGAAATTAGCAATTTCTATAACTTGTTTTCTCCTTGAACAAAAATATACAAGGGCACAAGTGCTTTCAAGAATAGATATTCTATTTGGACCACCCGGCCTATCTACTTCTTATAATTAGGTAATTCAGACTTCAGAGAGCTAGCAAGGATAGATAAGAGCTTAGAAAGGAGCTCCATGGGCCACCCCTTGATACCTCCGTACCCAAATAGATCCTTGGATGGAGATCCTTCACAATTAGGATCCCTCACATCTTAATGGAAATTCTAGCCAAATACAAAGCAATGGGGCCACATGATTCTAGAGGAATGGACCTGCCTAGTTGGACAAATACACAATTTGATCCCTTATAATGAACATCATTGAAGAGGTACTTGGTTTGTGAGGCCCTTGTCCTATTTTACATTGTACAGAATATGAATGGATAATGACCCAACACATGCATGGTCCTGTAATTGCAGAGACTAAGAGTTAACAGTTCCATTTTATTCTGTATGGATCCACTTCATTAGTATCTAGGGGTTGAAACTTGAAAGATACTTAACTAAACAAGATAAGAACTGTGTAAGAACTATCGCTTACACACTTGATTCTGATTAATTGTGATGCCAAAAATTCCAAGAACTATAGCTTTGAAGAGGTTCATATAGCATCCAAGATATCTAGATTCTTGTTTGAACAAGTTAGGTTGCATGTGGCATGTTTTTAGAGAATTAATGAATTTTGTGATTCTAAAATTTAATAATTTTTAAATTTGGATGCATGAACACTGCTGGAAGTACATCCTCTCATTTCATGTACTCCTTATTTTAATGAAATCTGGTTAGACTTTTCTCAAAAAATAAAAAAATAAAAAACTGCTGGAAGTAATTCCTCACAAAACTCATTCCAAGAATTGATTATTTGGAGTAAAAAAATTAGCTTCAAAAAAGAGTCATTTTTGTCTCAAAACTCATGTTTCAAATAGTGATTCTTTAGAGCCGAATTTTAACAAAACATATCCTTACATGCTAGGGCAACCTACTACTTTATGCTGAACTATTTGTAGTCACCAATTGCTCTGTAGGTTCTAACAAGGGTATGCCTTGTTAACACCATTTGATTGCACATGAAAAGTGACAAGGATGTTGGGTCCAAATTCTCCAATAAAAGAGCAATGGCCTCTCTGATATTGGGGATCCCTAATCTATCCATTTAGAAATGGCCCCTTGTTTCACATAGGGACATGCTTTCCCCCTAAACCTTGGTGGTTGCAGGTGATCCCCCATCTTTGCCAGCTAGTTTACTACTTTATTACTCATGGTATTTACGTTTGAGGCTGAAGTTTGATCAACTTGTCTCCCTACTTGTTCTTTATGTAATGCTGATTTCCTCCTCTGACCTCTTCATTTCTTTGATTGGGATGTCTACATGCAGGAAGGCTACTAACAGCACTGATATGTGAATACCTAGGGTGGGCACAATTGGGTCACACCCTAAAAGTTTTTTTGCCTGAATGTAATTTGGTAATCATGTAATTCTTTCTATTTCAGATAGCATATTAATTTTCAGATTTTACTTAAAATGTTTCTTTTTTAATTTTCTTGTTTGCTTATAAATTACTTTCGTTTTGCAGGAAAAAGAGTTTTGGAAAATTGAGTTAAAGGATTTCTGTAACAAGAATGGATATGATTTGAACACGAATGGAGAGAATGGTCCTTTGCTTCTAGATGTTCTTGAATGATACTTGAAATTTGAGGTTTGATGCCCTAGATACCATCCTCAATATCTATTCTGCTACTATAATTCAAAATATGTTTTTGAGGGTAACTTTCTATTCAAAAGGGATCAAGGGGGGGATGTACATAAAGGTCATACAGAGGAAACAAAAGACCATAATCAATTATAAAGTTGAAGTATTAACACTATACAAAAAGATTTTGTCCACCTTTGACTTTGAAGGGCGACCAGCTAAAGAGTTCATCTTTCTTGGAATCCATCTAAAAGAACATGAGGCGTCAAAAGAGATCTCCTGGATCTCATTCAATAGATGATCAAATCTCCAAGGCCCCTGATCATGGTTGGAACCCCAATCAATTAGAGAGAGAAGCCTTTATAATGGTGAGTCTCCCTCTTTTAAAGGTGAGTTTTTTCTTCCACTGACCTAGTCTTTTTTCACAATTCTCTCTAACAGTGCCCCAAAAGCTAGTGGTATTAGGATTACCACCCAAAGGCATATCAAGATTACTTGATTGGTCAATTATCCGGCTTATGACCCAAGACATCCCTCACCTCCAATGACCGATTTCATGGGAGATGAATTGACAGGAGGCTACTTTTAGCCAAATTACATTTTTGCATATCTATTAGAAATCCCAACTATTGATTACCTCATTTTCCAATGCCCAGAGTATGCGTTCATGTGTTCATTGTGTCATATAACTACAAAACGTGGCCCCATCTCCCTCTACCACCATCCTTTTGTTGTGATGATTGGCGGCGTTTTGATATTTTGTTAGACTTAAGGTTTCCAGTAGGTTGTTCCTTTTTCTTTTCAGTTTGTTATTAATACATGACCATATAAGGTTTCAACCACAGTGGTAATATACTAATATAAATGCTATATTTTCCTTTGATTGATTTTATGGTTTTATTTATGGAAGGATATACAATAAGAACTAAGAACTAAGATTTAACTTCTCCCATCAGCTGGCTACTTTGAATAGCACAGCACCACACTTATAAGAATCTAGATTTCCTACTCACTTTCTCTACCCACACCCCACCGACAATACACGGCAGCGTCGCATCTTATAATATAAGATGGGGATGTGTGGCTGCAATTCAAGGTGGGTAGATTGTGGATATATAGTGTGCAGGAAATCCGATTAACACTTATAAATCTCCACCCCCTACAAATTTGGTGTCATGGAAGCGGTATTTGAATCCCTATGTCTGCTTGTGAAAGAAAATCTTAAGGTGGAATGCATCTCAAGTTTGAAATCAGACAAAAAATAGTAACAGAATAGATTGGACGGTCCAGACCCAACCAGGTTTGGGTTGAAACCAATCTAAATCAAAAATGAATTTGAACAAATTGGACAGTCTAGACATTGAATTGGACCGATCCAAATTGATCTAAAACATTCATTGGATTGAATTAGACCTGATCCATTTATAATGGACTCACATTGGACTGAATCAGATTGGACCAAATTCAGTCCAATTGACAACCCTAGTTTAGGTTGACTATGCCATCCCTCTCTCATGGTCTGAACAGGAGGACTTCGATGGAACAAAAATTTGAAATATGGACAACTTGTATGGAACAGAAATTTAATAGATGCCAATTGGCTTGATCCTACTACTGTTGTTATGAGATTTGGTTTTTTAGTTTTTAGTCTAGAGGAAGCTCTTGGGGAATTAATATGTTAAATCCCAGTTCCGGTCACGAATCACTAGAAATGTTTGAGAAAAAGTCTCAAAGTACAAGCATTACTCCAGATTTTCTACTCGCATTTTTTACCCACTCTAAAGCAGGTGAGAACTGTTAAAGATACAACCATAAACTTGTATACTGTCCTAGAAAAAACAAATAGTGAAAGAACACAAAATAGTCCATTCGCAACAAAGATATAAAATCTGTTATATAAAGATCTCTCTTTATTTATCTATCTCTCGGCCATCTATTATTAGATTCAAAGATATAATATTATATCTAGTTTTTATTAACAATATATATTTGTTTTTTCAGGAAATTGTTAACGTGGAGGGTATTGAAGATATATACTTTGGATTTTGATGAAGACTTTTGGACATCATAAAGCAAAATGATTTTTTTGTTATATTTTTGTTGGTTTTTAGACTATCCATTATGGACCTATGATCTGAAAGTGACAATTGTATATATATAAATATTTTATGATAAATTTGTTTTATATGAAAATGGTTTATTTGGCTAAACTTCATAATTATTTGATTTTTAATTAAATATATAATATGCATTTGATTTAAAGGGCATGATGAAATTAATATTTATTGATACAGGTCCATTTACCATTATATAATAAGCAACATATTTTTTGTTGCTTCATTTTATTATATTTTAGCATGCATGTATGAATATGTTTAGACATTTAGTGGCGCTTGTAAAAATGTTGCAATATAAAAAATAAATGCTATTATGTTGTTATTGCTAGCTTTTATGGTAACCATCTAGTGGCACTTATAATTGCCACTATAGTGGTTGCAATTTAGTGGCACTAAGAATTTCCACTAAATGTGTCAATAAATGCCATTATTAAATTTAAAAATGGCATTTGAAATTGTCACTAAAGGATGAATCGCCACTAAAAATAGTTTTTATGGGCATTTATATAAGTGCCACTAAAATTTGGATAAACGTCATTGAAAGTAAGTTTTATTGTTATTTACTTGAGTGTTACTAAAAATCGGATAAACGCGACTAAAACTTTTACCGACTCAGCTATTGATGGCATTTTTACCTATCTTTTAGCCTTTAGTGGCGTTTTTACCTATCTTTAGCAGCATTTGAAAATGGTTGGACCATTGTGTTAGACAATTTTGTATGCCCTTAGCTTCAATCAGAATGATGTATATTATGAGTTTATTGTAAATGAATAAAAGTACATATTTGATTCATGTTCCCTTGATATGTTTCTGTGTAATACTCTTAAACTTGACACTTAATGAGACTCATGTTAGTTTAGAATGTTCACAGCCAGTAAATCGGTCTGGGGAGGCCTATCCTGATAAGGCTGACATTGATGTGCCACCAAGTCGTTTGGGGTGGCCTGTCTCAGCCGCCAGGGTGAGACCCTAAGCACATGCAGTGTATGATCAATTGAATCTTTGAACCGGACCAGATTTCCAGTATTGCCCTGGACCTTGGAGATTAGTGGGCAAAACTGGAAAGTTACACCCGACCCCTAGACTCGATTATGATACTGCACTAGGTGTCAGATTGGGCTATCTTTGATGTACCAATCAGTGAGATCCTTAGTGGGGGTCAAAACCTGGGTATGTTGGGATAGTCTGAGAATTCATCTGAGTGGGTGATCATAGTGACAGGATCAGTCTTTTTGTCGGACAAAGGTAATAATCGGGGATGCACTCTCTTTGATGGAAACCAAGACTACCGGTAGCCGATTTCAATCGTTGAGATTTGTCTTGCAAAATATATTTTATATGAGATATAAAAGTATATATATCTCATATCTATGAGCCTCCTAATGAGATTAGGAGAAGGTCGATCCAATCTGCAGATAAGATAAGGATTTATCCTTATCACCTAAAGGATTGGCTGATCCAATTATGACTTGGATCAACAACTCCTAATGAGATTGGGAGCTGATCTTTTAGGGTTACAAAGAAGAGAGGGGCGACAGTCTTTTACAGAGACATTCTCACATCCTCTAGAGAGTTGAAATCACAGAAAGAAGAATTAAGCAACCCTGTAGAATTCTTTCTTGCCGCCTCCTTCTTCTTGTCGCCTTCATTGCCTGTTCGATCTTCAACTGAGTGGGACAAGTCAAGATTTGATCTTGATATCAGTTCTTTGTGAAAGGACTGGTAGGAAGCTATGCTCGCGTGCCATCCTGCTAATTCTTGCGAAGGACTAGGTTCTTGGAGAAGAACACTGTTGATTCTACTCCATCCTACACTACGCCATCTTCAGTGGGAGCAGTCTTTGGATCCTTCCTTGGGCGTGAACACCTCCATTGGGAGATATTACTTCTCTGTATCAGGTATAATCCTCTCCTACTGTTCTTGTTCAGATCTAGTTCTGTTTATAGTTCAAGATTGATCCTTGAAAGTGTGATTTTTTAAATAGGGAATACGATTCCCAGTTGAAAGGGAGAGAAATTTTTTTGAAATTCACCCACCTTATTCCGCAAGATTTGGGCATTCATACAATGGATCTCCCATCTCCTCACATTGACCCACCATTTGGATAAGAAATTAATTTTGCTTTCAGATTCATTTTAAATTAGAGAAAATTATAGCTAGTTGAGTTAGCTATGCATTTAAAATTAGGCTACAAGTTGGTCCAAAAACCAACAAAACTCTTTAACAACTAGCTCTACATTTCAAATTATAAAAACTCCAACCATGTCATCAAAAGGTTTATGTGGTTGTTACCAACATAGGACTTAATCCATGTTGGACACAAGAAAAAGCTTATACCAAAATTACCCTTTAGTGTTGGGTGATCGGAAAATTAAAAAAAAGGGCTTTTAGTTTATCTCACACTCCCTCCCTCTCTCTCTCTACCAATTTCTCTTATTCTCTCTCTCTACCTATCGTTCTCCCTCAATCTCTCTCATTCTTTTTCTCTCCCGCTCCCGCTCCTGCTCCCTCTCTCATTCTTTCTTTTTTTAATTTTTTTACACACTTATATGGTATTAATCAGATCGTATAAAAGAACATGAGACGAATTTGATATGATTCAAAAATCAATACACCAATTTGATAAAAATTTACAAGAAACTATTGTCTATGAAATTTACACCAACTTAATAGAAATTTATAACTTAATTGTACAAGTTGTTGGTCTCTTTAGTTCTTTTATATGGCCTGATTAATATTGTATAAGTTTGTAAGAAAAATAAAAAAAAAGAACAAAAGAGGGAGTGGGAGAAAGACTAATGCTTAAGATAGATTGAGAGATGGAGGTTTTGATTTGGCTACAAACCGAAGCTAGGAGAGTGGGAGATAGAGAGAGTGGGAGATAGAGAGATGACTATGAGAGTGAGAGAGAATAAAGGGAGATTCAAGAGACAGAGGGAGTGAGAGAGAAACTAAAAACCTATTTTTCAGTAAAGGTTTTTTGCTGGTGTTTATAATTTGTCCCATATTGGCAATAGCCACATAAGCCTTCGTTGACATTCGGGGGTGTTTATAATTTGAAATGTAGAACTGGTTGTCAAAGTTTTGTTGGTTTTTGTACCAACTTGCAACCTAATTTTAAATGTATAGCTCGCTTTGACTATAATTTTCTCTTTAAATTATATGTTTCATTTATATTATATAAAATAATTTTTACTTATCACACTTAAATTTTTGTTTGTCTATGATATCATTTGACCCAAACCACTAACCCACCACCCAAAAAGAAAAATAGTTTGATTTATAGGTTGACTTTTAAATTTTGTATTACATCTCCATCATTGATAAAATTATTTTTTATGTATAATACTTATTTTTGTTCAATATAATGAATGCATAATATTAGAAATGTACCCAATATTTTATTTTTTATAAATATATAACATTAGATATATGCCCAATTTTTTCTCTATATTTTTTTGTGATTTTTTGTATTTTTTATTTTTAAAAATTTTATTATTTGACTATGACATCATTTCATTTCTAGGCTATTTTAAATTTGGCATTCCATTTTCATCATTAATAAAATTACTTTTTACATTTCATACTTATTTATTTTATTTTTTAGTATTTAATTATGACATTATTTATTAATCCATTTGATCCCAAATGATTGAATTGCTTGCCTACCACCATGAGGGAAGAAAATGGTTTTGTTTTCACATTACTTTTCAAAATATTTGTTTTTATACTATTAAAATTAGTATTGTGGATTTAATTACAAGAATTTAATGATGAGGAAAATATATTTTAAATATAGGTTTTAATGAAAGAGAATAAAAAATATTGTTATTTCCAATTGGTTTAAAATTTTACATTCCATTTCCATAATTAATAAAAATATTTTTTATTTATCATACTTATTATTGTTTAATATGTATTTTAAAAATGTTCCCAGTTTTTTTAATTTCTATTTTTTTCATTTTATCAATTTTTGAATTTTATTATTTAATCGTGGCAACATGGATTGACCAATTTGACCCACAATGGTTTAATTTCTTACCACCACCTAGTTGAAAACACTATTTTTTTATAGATAGATTTTAAAAGTATAAGCTTTTATGTTATTAAAATTATTAATTTACTAAGTATGGATTTAATTAATAGAACTTAATGATGAGAAGAAACAAAAATGGCTTAAATATATGATTAAATGAACATGAATGCAAGTTAATAACTTAAGTGTTGGATTTAGTGAGAGAAAATTGAATGCATTAAATATCTTAAAATTACCTCTTTTCAATTCATTTAATATCAATAACCAATTGACCTATTTGCCCTCATTTTTATCAATAAATTTAAATATAGAGGGGGTAAATTCGTCTTCAAAAAATTTCAGAAATATTCTTGAGGCCATTCGTGCTTTTTAAAATAGTATAGATTTCCTAGGTAAATAAGAAAATGGCCATTTTAGCCACACAAAACAATTATTAAAAAGGATAATGTTGTTCCATCCAATTATTTTCAATTGTTTCTCATGTGGGAAAATTACTTATACTTATGCAGGTAAGCGATATGTAGGGAAAATGAATTTTCTACGGACCCTACATAAATTTGAAAAAATAAACATATATATCTCGGTCAATGGTAACCAAAATCTCATTGAGCAAACATAGATATCTCCAAAAAGTGAATGGGCCGCAAGTAGAAAATGTGTGGTGCAAGTTTGGATTGCCAGATATTTCAGTTTTTATGTAAAACTGAAATATCTTTATTTAGTAGTTTTAAATATAAAATATATTTTAATTAAAATTGAAATATATTTAAATAGATTAGGTTGATTTAATTTTAAATCGAAATATATATTTAAATAGTTAAGTAGGAACTGAGTCGGTTCGGTTCGGGTCGGTTTCGATTTTCACACAAGAAAACCAAACTATCGGTTTATGAATTTGTACAACCCAAAACCGAACAGTACTAATGAAAACCCGGCCGACTCGGATTGGGTCGGTCTGGATTGGTCGGTTTGATCGGATTGGACCTTCTTATGAACA